GTCCTCGTGACTTCTTCTAATGGCCAGCCCTTGCATTCCTCTGCCTATGTTTCTCTAGACCCTGAAGAACTACTTTAGCTCCGTGGTCCATGTTGCTGGAAGAAAGATGAGAGGAAGCAGAGAATGGCCACCCGCCAGTAACTTATAAAAGCTAGAGTGTAAGTACCTCTGCTCCCTCACCCGCTGTGACATAATTCCCAGGTTCATGTTCCACACTCGAGTCATCCATGGCTCCCTATCGAAATGGAGCAGCCCACTGTGGAGCTGGCTTGGTTCAGCCCTGTCTCTCACATGTGCTCGGCTGCCATTATTTTCCAGAATCATTTCCCAAGCAAACTACTTGTACCTCGAATACAAGTTTCCATTCTGGTCCTGAGAAAACTCGAACTAAGGCAGATAGTTAATAGGAGCATTTCAGGATGAAGGGCAGTTGTGCCTGTGCCTGTGTGTGTGTGTGTGTGTGTGTGTGCGTGCGTGTGCGTGCGCACACATGCATGTGCATGCTGTCCTCTGACCTTTGAGTGAAATGGCTTGCTCTGCTGGGGTAGGGGCTTGATTGGTTGCCCTTCCATCCTTAACAAACAAAATTCCCATTTTTTTCTTCTTTGCAGTACTAGGAGGTTGAATTCAGGGCCTTGCACTTGCTAGCTATGTGCTTTGAGCTACACCTCAGCCCCTTTTTGCCTGAGTTATGTTCCACGTAGTGTCTCTGGCCTAGGCTGCAATTCTCCTACTTGTATTTCCAAGATGCTGGGGAAGACAGCAGGGGCCACTGTGCCCAGTCACTGTGCTGCCCCAAGGGTTCAGAATTCCCCTCTAGCTTAGCAGATAACAGGCACAAGCCATCATGCCTAACCATTGCTTCAGATAAGTCTCCTAGGACTGGGAAGGTGGCTCAGTGGTAGGGTGTTTGCCTTGAATGCATGAGGCCCTGGGTTCCATTCCTCAGCACCACATAACCAGAAAAAGCTGGAAGTGGCACTTTGGCTCAAGTGGTAGGGCACTAGCCTTGAACTGAAGAGCTGAGGGACAGCACCCAGGCCCAGAGTTCAGGCCCCACGACTGACAAAAAAAAAAAAAAAGAGTCTCCTAAACTTTAGTGCCCAGGCTGGCCTCAAATCCCCTACCTCCCAAGTAGCTAGAATTATAGGCTTGACATATCACACTCAGCAAGAACCCCAATTCTTGATAAAGCAGAAAGGGGTTCAGAAAACAACACCTTTCCTTCACTCCTAGGCCCGCAGAGGGAACCAACGAAGGACTTTTGGTCCTCAATGGCTTCGCCAAACCCAAACCATCCTGAAAGCATCCACCTCCAGAAATCTTCATAGAGGCAACCATTCAATGAGAGAATGCGTGGAGGGCAGTGGTTGAGGGGAACCCAGCACAGTTACTCACTGTGTGACTATGGGCGGGCTACCCTCTTTCAGTTCCTCACCTGTAAAATGGGGATAGAACATTGCCACCGCCACCAGGTTATAAGAATTAAATGAGTCGACACAGGGGAAAGCACGTGGCGCAGCATCTGCACACGGCATTTTCTGGGACCACCACTATGACCATATCTGGGGGTCTTGGAAAAATGCAGATTCTGACCCAGGGAGTCAGGGTGCAGCCTGTATGCTAATGAGCCCCCAGGGGCTGCCAGTGCTTTGGGACTGTGGTCCATACTCTGGACAGTGATGGCTGAAGCCAATACCATCGCATCCTGCCACTGGCCCAAGCTGCACACGCTCCTCCATCCTCAAGGCTAGGATGAGAACAGTACCTCTGAAGTGTCACACACCTGTCCTCTGCACCTCTCAACACTCTGCTAGTTGCTTGGTCAGCATCCTATAGGGAAGGGTCTCTGCTGTGCCCTGTGCAGTTGTCTGATCCATGATGGGTGCTTAAACATATTTGGTGAAATGAAAATCCCTGTGGGAGCAGCCCTGTGCCCCTTGATGACGCAGTGCATGGCTGGGCAGCCGGAAACTGCAACCCCTTGGGGCTGTTTAAAGTGAGGTTGGCTCACTGCATGCCCCCACTGGGCTGGCAGAAGTCCAGGGGGTAGAGAGAGGGGAGGACAGTTACACTCCTTCTCATTTCAGAGCCTGGCACCTGGGTCCAAGCAGTGCCCAAAATATCAGCAGAGCAAGGAAAAGGCTGAGCACAGCTCAATGTCCCTGGCCCTTCTTCGTCCAGGTGTTAGATGAGGTGACAGCACCTGGCTGGCCTCCACCAAGTCCCAGCCCCTTCTAGCAGGGCAAAACTGTCCTCATTGCTGGACCTAGCCTCCTCCAAATCCCCTGCTTCTTTCTCAACTAAATTTAACACACTCCCCCAGCCTTTTAATACCCACCATAATCAGCAGTTACCCAGTACTCACTCTGTGACACACCTGATTGTATCCAGGTGCCAGTGGCTCACACCTGTCATCCTAGCTACTCAAGAGGCTGAGATCACGGTCCAAAGCCAGCCTGGGCAGGAAAGTTTGTGAGAATCTTATCTCCAACCAATTGTAGAACAAGCCAAAAGTGGAGCTGTGGCTCAAGTGGTACGTACAGGGCTAACCTTGAGCCAAAAGAAGCCCAGGGACAGTGTTCAGGCCCAGAGTTCAAGCCACGGGTCCAGCAAAACAACAGCAACCACAATTAACCCATGACTGTATTTTGAGAGACTTGTGGAAACCTCTAAACTGCAACTGAGGTCAACCAGCAAAATACTCTACTCACAGAAGCTTAGTTAACAAGAAATAGTATTAATAGAGAGTAACCCCAGTGCCTGACAAGTGTCAGTCACTGTTCTAAGTGTTTTCCTCATTATTAACTCGTTTACTCTTCACTCCTCATTTATGAGTGATCTTCACCATTACTGTCCACTTTCTGGACTTGGAGAAGATGTGACTTTCCCAAAGCCACATGGCTACTAAGAAACAGAAATGAATCATAAGCCAGTACTGTCTGACTGCTGGGCTCTGCAGTTAAGATTTTCTAATCCCTTCAAGTATGTTTCATCCAACGATACCAAGAGTCCCCTTTTGGAGCTCTGTCTTGTGCAGACAGAGCCTCATTCGTTTTTTTCCCTTGTGATACCTGCCTCTGTTGCTCCCTGTGAGCAAGTTCTGTGATTTCTTGAGCCTTTCCTCTTCTGTGACATGGGATCATGGCTTTGAATTCCTGATGCCACCCACAGCACCAAACTGCTGCTCATGACCTAATCCTCACAGCCTCTTGTGATGCCAGCACAATATTTACTAGACTCTCTGACACTCAAAAGAGGCTACAGATGTGCCCAAGGCCACCAGAGTGTCCGTGGCAGAGCCAGGAGTGGAAACAGAGCTTCCTGAGCCCAAGGCGCCCATCTGTCAGCAGGGCCCCACTCCTCCTCAGGTGTTTGAGGTTAACTGCCTCCAAGTTTGGCTGCCCTGCCAGGTGTCCCAGGCCACAGGAAAATGCTGGCTGCCTTCCTCTTCTCCCTCCTCCTCCTCCTCCTTTCCACTTGCCCACCCTTTTCCTCCCCCACAAAACAGGTGGATAGAAGGAGCAGCTCTGCCAAGGCCAGGCCAATCATAAGATGCTCAGGTGGAAGGGGCTGAGGAACAAGGCCTTTAGCCAACAGGAGCCCCCAGGGAGCTGAAACAAAGGGCCAGACATGAAGGTGGGGCAGCCAAAGGTGGAGGCCGAGCCTAGTGTGCCATGCCTGGCTAGCTGCTCCAAGACTGGTCACTGGCCAGTGTGACCTTTTTTGACAACAGAGATACTCCAGTTCCTGCCCCACCCCACAGGGTTGCCACGAGAGCCATGTGTTGCTATTCAGTGCTGGAAACTCAGTGTGACAGAGGGACAGAATAATTTATCTTATTTAATTTTAGTTAATTTACATTTAAATAGCAAGTGCACCTGGTGACATCCTTAAGGACCCTGCAGACTTTGACACCCAAGTTTCAGCCTCCACATGTGCATGTCTCGGGTTATGATACCCCAAGCCTTTTTCCTGCCTCAGAGGATAGATAGGAGCATGAAGGTTATGGCCAGGCTGTGTGACCCAGGGTGAGCTCCTGAACCTTTCTGAGTAGGAGGGCATTCACACAATATGGAAGTTGCTTTGGATCTGAGTTTCTTTGCCAGGGACTTATGGGTGGGCTTTAGGGGAATTTAGGAATGAATGGTCTGTTGTTATGAAAAGAATGTACTGGTATGACTGTGTATGAGAATCACTCTGTGTGTGTGTGTGTGTGTGTGTGTGTGTATTTATTGGGGGAAGAAACGGGCCCAAATCTTTCCCTTAAATTCCCTAAGAGGTCCATAAAGATGAGAAAACCCAAGTCTGGATGAATTCTTTTTCCAGAGAGCTTCTCTCTGAAAAAAAAAAAAAAGAAAGAAAAATGGAGTTCTTGGGCTCCCTTCCAGGGACTCTAATTTGGTGGCTCGGAAGCTGGGCCCTGCCATCTGCATTTGTAACAAGCCGGGGAGGGAAATACTGGCTGGGGGCCAGGCGGCCAGCGATGTCTTGTGATTTGATGATGTGCATGAGATGCCTTTATCAAGCCCAGGTTTATGCTTTTAAAATACAACTGGGACCAAAAATGAAAAAAAAAAAACCTTTGTTTATTTACTCACATGGATGTACAGCACGCATGCGCTAATCACAGTCTATACATATTAACCCATGACCTTGCAAATGTTTAATCAGAAATGTTTAGGAATGTTAAATTCATAGCACTCCCCATGTGGTTGGCATTCGTACCCAATTTTGTAGATAAGGAAGCTATCCATTGGGGTCATGACCTGTCCAGAGGCAGTCCAGAACTGGGACTGAATGCAACCCCATGGGAATGAGCCCCTGAACCCCATGCCCTCAGAGCTTCTGGCCTAGCTGCCACCCTTCTTGAAGATGGGCATTGCTCTGGGGCCTTAAGCCAGCATACCCAGGCCTCTTGGAAGTGTGATTACTCATTCCCCCATTCCCCCAGTGGGCAAGCCCAGAGGCTGGTGGGAAGGTGTGGGTCCTATACTCACTTGCCCTCTGAGCCGTAGCTGTTCATGCTATCCTCGATGGACTCGTGGCTGGCCTGGCGCAGCGTTCGGCTGGGCATCTCCACGGCCAGGCCTGTCTCTGTGCTCCTCTGGATGGCCCCCTTCAGCCTCCGATTGTCTCCTGCTGGGCAGAAAGGCCAAGAGAGATGGGGAGAGACACAGGGACAAGGAGGACAGAGAGGCCATCATCAGGTTGGTGTTTCAGGAGCTAGTAGCAGCCCAGCTTTAGCCCCCAAACCCAGCCCACCAACCTCTTCATCCCACCCCTGAGTCCACCTGGGGCATTCCTGTCCTGGTACCAACTCAACACCCACACAGCACCACTGAGCTTTGTTAACTGATAGATACATTCACATTTCCTCCTCTCCTATGTACTATTTACCAAGCACCTACTATGTGTTGCACTGTCAGGGACTCTGCATGGATCCAGACCAGGCCTTTGTAACATCAGCGTGACTGGCACTATGGGTGCCATGTTGCTCTGCTGAAGGTACTGCAGTGAACTACAGCGCTCCTAGCAGCTTGCCTGGCCTCTCCTTGCTACATGTAAGTGGCACCCCAGTCCAGATATATCCCAGACATTGCCAAATATCTCCTAGAGGGCAAAAATGACCCTCAACTGGTGATCTCTGATTCAGACCACCACCTCGGAAACCAAACCCTGGTAGTGAGACTTCTGGGTGAGTCACTCAGCCTCTATTTCTTCAACTGTACAGCAGAACAACAACAGGTTTATTACAAGGAAAGATGGCCTTTGTCCTGAGTTCCCTCCTGCTGTTGTCTTTCTCCCACCCCCAGCTCACTCCTCCCCTCCATCCTGTGTTGACATGCTGCTGACTGAGACAGTCTCTGATTGCTCTGGGCCCTGTCAGAACACAGCCCTGTCCCCACCCACCTGGGCCCTGACACCCTGCTTTGGTCTTCCTCCATCACACATTGGTGACTTCTTTCATGAAGGTGAGTTCCATGAGGGCATGTTCACCACTGGAAGCCTGGGCACCAAGAGCAGAGGCTATCTTATTGTAGATGCTCAATTAATGACACTGAATGGACCAATGTCACCCTGAGAACCATCTTCATCCTCACAGCCACCATGAGGCATTGCTTCTGCTTTCCCCTCATCAGTGTGGACCATGAGGGCACAGGATGGGCAGGGACTGGTCCTCACCCAGAAGGTGGGAGGGAGCCAGAATATGGCCCTAGTGGTCTCCCTTGGAATTATAGTAGCTTTACTAGCCTGCCTGTCCCACAGGGACTGGAGTCTCAATAGTCTAGTGGCAGGCTGGCAGGTCTCTAGAGCTTCATAGGTGCTTGCTGACTGATACACTACAGGAAGGAATCACTCAAGTCAAGCCCCATCCTCCTGCTCCTGCTAAATGGGCCATGACACAGCCCACTGGCCTTCTCCTGGCTCAGCGGCAGCGTCATCATCCCCGCCCCCCTACCCCGCAGTCCTGAGAGTTAAACAAACATGTGTAGAGATTCCAAACCTGGTGCACACGTTTCTGTCTTCCACATATACCCATGCTGGAAGATACATGGACACTCCCATACTCAAGAAAAACACACAGCAACGCACGAGGGAATACACACATACATGTCTCTGTGTCCCTTTCACAAGTCTCTATCTACCAGTGTGTCTGACAGACAGTGGGTGTGCATGTCAATGTGTGTATGCTGGACACACATCCACAGGAAGCCCGAACCCACCCACTGGAGAGACCACATGTGTATGTTAGGGGTGGGGGTGCTCCTGTTTCTACGCTATTCCATTTGTTCTTTCCCTAACCCCCAAATGCAGCCACCCCTAACCCCATTTCTATTCCTGTGTTCATTCCTCTCTGTATAGCAGCTAGAGAGGCAAAGCCACAGAAACATACATGTTCACTCTCAGAATCAAACTCACAGACACGAAGAAGTCCCTCCCACAGCAACACACACACACAAGTGTAGTGAGGGGGAGGGGTAAAGGCTACAAACGCCCCCTCCCAGGGGCTTCAGGTCCATGCACAGGCACCTGCAGGTGGGATGCAGAGGCCTGCCAGGGTGTGTGACCTCCCTACCGAGCGGGAGCTGAGCCCCACGCCTTGTCTCCACCCACCAAGCCTCTCCCGGAAGAGGGAGGAGCCCAAGCTGACAAAAGGCTCAGTCCCCAGGGGCTGCGGAGGAGGCTGAGGTGTGCTGCGCACCTGCACCCTGCAGTCCTCCAAGGCCGGTCCCACCCAGATCCCGAGGCTGGTTCAGCACAAAGGAAGCCTGGCTCTGTGGGAGGACAGTCCAAGCAGAAACCAGACCTACCTTAGGGAGCATGGTGCTCCAGTGGGAGAAGTGTCAGCACTCTGGCCACCATGCCTGACATGCAGTAGTTGCTACACAGAGAGACAAAGACCTGACACTCCCTGGACTCCCTGGGGGAACTGATGCCTTTATAGATGCCATCTTCCTCAACCTGGAGTGTCCCACAATGCCAAAGGCACCTACCACCTACCCTGGACCACTTGGCCCTTTGTGGGTGATCGCTCCATGACTGGATCACTCCATCCCAAACTGAGTGCTTACCCTACTCCCTGCCCCATAACCCACACATGCCAACACATCCTTTCCCCAGCCTGGCTGGAAGGCATGTTCTCCATGTTTTGTTCTTCTATGCTTCTAGATTTCACAAGCCTCAGACCTTTCCCTTGCCCTTCAGCCCTTCTGGCAAGACTGGTCCATCATCTGTTTATCACTCCCCACCCCAACACCTCCTTCCAGCCTCACCACGACCCCATCCAGGCTATCTTCTTGCCAGCCAATCACAGGCTGTCTCAGCTCTTCCAACATGGCTACCGGGCCCTGCTCACCCAGCCTCCTGCTCCCCTCCCAAGGGCCTGATCTGACCAGCACAAGGGATCTGAGATCTTTCTTTTGTTTTTTTTTGACTGGAGGATGTAATTTATAAACATTCAAATTTTAAAAATAATAATAATAATCTTGTAAAATCTTGAAATTTTCAGTTTTTGTAAGCCTAATTTACATAGAAAATGTCATCATTTTAGATATATAGTTCAATGAGCTTTGAAGACTAGAGACTGAGATTTTTTTATCTCAGCCTCCTCTATCCCTCTTAGGTGTTAGGTGGAGGTCTCTCTAAGGTGCTGGTCTCTGCTGGCAAACATGCTGATGTGAGACAGGAAGGGATGGGCTCCATCTCTGGTCCAAAGGGCCCAGACTCAGTTCATGTGCTGTGGTGAACACTGGGATGGACTCCCTCCCTGCCATTTCTGTAAGCCCCTCCTCACTCCGCAGGCTTAGTGTGCAGCTGGGCCCTGTGCTGGGTCTTGGACTACTGAATCCATCTAACCATCACACAGGTAGTGCTAGAGGGTCTGGACATGTGTGAGCCCTTCCACTGCCCTGATCCTTCACTAAACACTCACTGCCGGAGGAGCTCCTCTCAGCTCAGAGGAACACCGAGGCATGCACAGCTCTAGTGCAGCCCTGCTGGAGGGGCCCGGCCACCCTCTGCCCGATGACTGTGGAGATGCATCATCTCTATCACAGTGACATGGAATGACATCCGCAGCATACAGGCAAGTTAAAAAAGCAGGTTGCAGGGCAGTATGTAAAACATGCTGCCATTTTTATAAGGCTATAGATAGCTCTGTGTGTGTGTGTGTGTGTGTGTGTGTGTGTGTGTGTGTATGTGTGGAGAGGGGAGGAGAGAGAGAGAGGAAGAGAGACAACTTTATATTTATGCATATGCATAGAAAAATCTGAGAGGATATGAGCCAAACTGCTAATGGTGAATAATTGCAGGGAGAGAGTCTATTAGAGGAGGTATGTAGGATCATTTTTTGTGACTTTTTAATATAAGTGTAAGACAAACACAGAGAAGCATACAAACCTGAAGTATAGAGCTTGATGATTTTTTTAAAAAAAATAGTTCTTTTACCAAGAGCTGAGCTTTTTAATTTAAAATGAACTAATAAATCACAACTCAGTATTGCTTTTCAGATTATTTTGTTTCAAAATGACACATTTCATGATTAAATAAAGTGCATTTCTAATGTGGGTTTGATTTTCCACATGAGTAAGAAAGAAGCCATGGTGAGTGCCGCTCCCTTAACCTGGGAGTCAGGTTTTAATGACAATGTCATCAACTTGCCAGCAATGGAGCATCAAAGGTAAGCAGCCAAGAAGTTAGAAATATAAATTCTGCACTGCTTCTATTAGTAGAGAGGCCCTTTTTGGAGTCACAGTACAAAACAGGGCATTTTAAAAATGTTGTTTTACTGGGTCTTGAACTCAAGACCTGGGCACTGTCTCTGAACTTTTTCTGCTCAAGGCTGACACTCTACCACTTGAGCCACACCTCCACTTCTGACTAACTGGAGATAAAATTCTCACAGACTCTTCTGCCTGGACTAGCTTGGAATTTCAATGCTGTGAGCTCAGCCTCCTCACAGGTGTGAGCCACCAGTGCCCACCCACCCACCCATAAGTCACTGTCTATATGACTTAAGATGGAAGTGGTGTGCAGAGTGATCAGGAGAGTCACAGGGTCCTATCATCTGGCTGGGTTTCTATTTCACTGGCATCTTCTTGATCATAGTGTATCCAGACAACTGTGTTTGAATATGGAACTCAAGAGGCACTGCAGCTTTCTTCTAGAAATAAACCAGCTGTTTTCTATACAGGAATTTAACGATAGTTGTAGAAGAAAGCCCAGAGAAAAATGAAACCAAGAATCACACTGGAAACAGAGGCCATTAAGTGCTCTAGAAGTTAAGTTCCACTATTTTCCATTTTTCTAAAAACCTTCCCATGTTACTAATTTTAAAAAAGTGCCATTTCTCTTTCTACCTGCATCTTAACACAGATACGATGGAATCAATAAAAAAAAATAAAACCCTTCTTGTTCCCTAAATATAGCCCAAATCAGAAAGTTTTATTTTTGATTTGTACAACTGCAGGATAGCAAACAGGTGTGAGGTTCATGGGAAAGGGATGATGGAAACAAAATAGCAAAATCCAAGGACAGTCTTTCTCTTGTATGTGGTTCTAGGCACACTGCAACAGACAATACCTCCTCCCGTGAACAAGGCAATGCAGAAGAGAGGAAGTAGAGATATGGGAAGA